GCTGTTATACCCTCCAAAAGCATTTACTGAAGAATGATGAATTGTGTGTGCTCCAAGAAAATTGAAATAAAATGAATCAAAGACCGTGTCACTATTAAAGAGTATTGTCAAAGTTGTTGACAAAGTTCAAGAAATGGCCAACAAAAGAACATGTAGGTACCAGATGTCAATGGAAGAAGACAGATTGCAAAGGAATCAAACAAGGATCCCCGACATTTTCTCTCCTGTGTAGAAATTCTGGAAGCCGACCGAGTTCCCATTTCCAAATCTGATATGCTCGCGGCTACAGTTGAAAAGGAGAGCAGGTAATGAGTGCTGTCAGCACTGGCCTCCCCTATGACCTATTTAGCTTTGATCACTTGCGTGATCACCGAATGCACACCTTGCCCTAACCCACCACTTGGCACAATCCAACCCTGCTTACTGGGGAAACTTGGCAAGCCAGAGTTTTAAGGGAGGAAAGGCAACCTATCACCTTTATTAGAAAAAAAAAAAATCTCAAAGCGCTTGACCTACTGATGTCAGCATCACCTTTTCGTGCAGGAACAAATTATTACACGAGAGCAGACCTAGAACACCCAGCTGGAGGTGAGTCAGTCACGATGGAAGACTAATGATTCTGCACGGGGCATTCCTCCGGGGCAGGAACCGTGTCTGCTCTCCTTCGGGTGGGAGTGGAAGTGCTGTGCGCACAGAGGACGTCCTGTTGATAAGACTGGGCAGTTAGGGGCATGCTCTCCAGGGAAGCCGGGTGGACAGGATACTTTGGGGAGTCTGCAGCAGCCGCAGCCACACGGAAGCCAAGTCGCTACTGAAATTCCCTTTAAAGTTGCAAAGCAGATAAGGAAGGAACGCCCGAGCCAGTGTGCTGTAACTAGTCCAGGGTTGGGACCTCGGCGGTCTGTCTCTCCCTCGCCCCCCAACGCCACCTCCCTAGACGAGCCAGGCAATAAAGAGAGGTGGGAGAACCTAAGAAACAGCCCCCGCGGACGAGTTTCTGAGCAGGGAAGTGAGCCGGGAACAGCGCATTTCCTGCTGCGGCCCTGCGAACCCCAGGCGGGGCCGAGCGGGAACGTGGAGACGGCCGAGTAATCGCCCGCGGCCAGGGCGGGGTTCGGGGGCAGCTGCAAGCGGGGACCAGGGGAAGGGGGAGGGCGTAAGCCCTAGGGGCACGCCGCTCCTATCCACAGGGGACACGAGCGTCCCCAAAGCCCCTCCCGCCGTCGCCCCCTTTTCAGTCCCCGTGGGCTGACTTGTAGATGGCGCGAGCGGCGCGACCTCGGGGGTCGGGGCGCACGGCGCCACTGGCGGTGGCGGCAGCGAGTGGGTGACCGCTATCTTCCGGGCCACTCCTTCCTCCCAACCACTCCCCTGCCGCCCGCGACCTTCGACCTCCATCCTGCACCCACGGAAGACGGGCCCAAGGACAGGGAGGAGACGCAAAAGGTATCCAGGGGCGCGCCGCCGCCGCCCAGTCGGCGCCAAAGCGCGAGGTGCGAATCGGTGGCGTCGGGCTAGGCGGCCCTACCTGGGTGGTGCGGGGCCTTGCGCCTCGCTCCGCGGGCTCACGCTCCGGAGGTCGCTGCCTCGAGCAGTTTATAAATGCAAAGGCCTGCTGGCTGCTCTTTGTTCCAGGGACAACATTGTGTATTCCCCTACGGGCCGCCCCGAGCTCCCCCCGGGTGTGCGGCGGGCGCCCTCCTCCCCGCCCCCGACGGGTTCGCCAGCCAGAGTCGACCGGTCTACCTGGGTGCCCACATATCCTGAGCGGGCAACTGTGCCCTTTGTCCCGAGCATCGGAAGTAAAAAAGTCTGCGGGAAGTCACCCCGCTTCTGGCTGGTCACCCCTGGGCGCGGGGAATAGTGTAGCTCTGACTTCACGTCAGCGCCACACTTCGTCACATACCCGGGAATTTTCTGCGCCCGCTGGCCCAAAGCCCCAAACAAAGCTTCTTGCGACACTGGTCGCTTTCCTCGCCCAGCCTTTTCGGACCTCGCGTCCTGCCCAGGACCCTGGCATGTGAGCGCCGGCAGTAGCCCGGAATCCAGAGACTGTTGGGGGTGTAGTGCGCACGGACCCCGCCAACCTCAGTGCGCTCGTACTGGGCTCCGACTCCTGAAACTTTAACCCCCAGTATCCACCCCTCACCCCGCCCCGCACCGTCCCGCATAAATCTCCCGTGGTTAGAAAAGCAAGGTTTGCAGGAAGCCACTCCGGATGTTTGCTTCTTCACATGTGGCATTTGTGGCTGGCTCTGATAACGCCGCGAGCTCGACTTCCAACACCGCATTTAATAAAGAGACTGCAAAACGAGTCCGCACACACCGGGGGCAGGACTGCGGCGCCCCCAAAACTCTCCCTCCCCCCAAAAATATACAACTAAAGAATGAGCAGAGGAAGTTAGTTAGTATGCGGAAAAAGACTAGTCCTGGCAAGGCATTACAAATCCTTCTTAGTAATATGTTAAGTAAAAAATTGCTCCTTTATGACTCCCAGGGAGGGCTTTGGAAGAAGTAGGGGGAGGGACACCCAAATCTGAAGCTCGGAGCCCATCCTATGCGGGTGTGCTGTCACTCGATTTCTCGGTTATCTTACCTAGCAAGGATCAGTAGCAAATAACTATGGGGAGCCCCTCGGTTGTCTTATCAGTTTTTCGACCTTCTCGCCTGCCCTCCGCACCTCTGCCGCACCTCTTCCTGTAGTGGGCTGGGCACCGAGGAACAAGGGAATGAAGAAAGGGTAAATTTGTGCAAGAACATCTACAGTCCACACCTGGATTGTTGTTTTTTGAAGAAGTTGGTCAAATATCACTCTTTTTAAAAAATTTTATTTTTATTTGAGAGGTGGAGTTACAGATGTCTAGAGAGAGAGGTAGGGAGAGATCTTCCATCTGCTGGTTCACTCTCCAAATGGCCACAAGGGCTAGAGCCAGGAGCTTCTTCCCGGTCTCCCATGGGAGGTGCAGGGGCCCAACCACTGGGTCCAGGCTTTAGCAAAGAGCTGGATTGGAAGAGGAGCAGCCGGGATAAAAACCAGTGTCCATATGGGATGCAGGCAGAATCTTAGCCTACAACACCACATCGCTGGCCCCAGAAAAAGTGGATTCTGGAATGGGTTTTTGTTTTGTTTTCAATATTCAGTCTGAGAAAACTACTTAGTTGTAAAATATTTTTCACTATGATAATCTTCTGTGTTGAGAGCCTTGAAAATAAATTACTGCCATCCAGAAAAAGTTAGAAAAAAACATCTCCATGAAAACCCAGCAAGGATCAGATTGCAGTGATATCAATTTGTAATCGTGCTCACTGTATGTCTGTAATTTCCTTAATTATTTAACCATTGCAATTCATTTTTGCTGTTTTCAATTTCATATTTTTTGGAAAAAATAAACATCAAAGTAAAAATATATCATTGCCTACATTTAGGGTCCACCTCAAAACCACCAATTAAAAGTAACAACCAGGAAGATTTCCTTAAGCTGATTTAAAATGTTTTCTTGTCTGAATCATAGAGATATGGGAACAGGAACCACTTTCTTAGCTTTCCCCGGTGAGAAGACTGGCTGTTAAGAATAACGGAGAACAGACAGCTCTTCACAGATCTTTGCAGAGTTAAAGGAAAGTTGGTTTAGAACAGTTCTTTGGAAGAAAAAGCTGTATCAGAGGCCAGCCGTTTGCAAAAACTCAGTTTTTCAATGTGCCACTAAACAGCCAGATTTGATAGATGACTGTGTGGTTGTCAGATCACACGAAAGCTGTCGTATTTTAGCTCTCAGCTCCCAGATGTAAGCTCTACCTTTTCACACATAACAACAACAAATCCGTTCTGGAGATTGATCTGCTGAGTTTTGTTCGGAAGTGTGCATTAATGGCTATGTTTGTTGTCCTGGAAATAACACAAATGCACAAACACAACAGCCTGGCCTGGTGATGAACAGCTCCAAGTCTGAAAGTGGACTACTGGCTATGGATTCCACCCTGTCAAGGCTTTGAGCTGAACCTCCGTTGCCTCTTCCGGAAGGTGCGGCAATGTCAATCTCATAGGATTGCATGGAGGATAAACTAGTGCAATAATGTTTAGCTCATGCTGAGTGAGGGGCAGTCTATGCTGTCTGTAAGTGGCATATATGAGGGTTGCTATAAGAATCCCACAGAAAAGTTTAAGTGTAAACCCAAGTTTAGTAGTCAGTCAGATGTTCATTTCATTACAGTCTAAATACCTGTCAAGGTAACCACCTTGACCTGAGACTAAGGGCTACATTTCTCTGCTGCTCAACAAGACCGCTCTTTCTCCCTTAATAGGATTAGTAGGGCATTTAGGAAAATATTGCTGCTACCTATACATTTTAGAAATCAAAAGTAACTCTTGCCTCTTTCACTGAACATTGACAAACAGCTGCATTTGGTATATATCTTCATATGTACACATTCCCAAGGGTGAATTTCTCATGAGTAAACGCTTCAGATTCTTCAGGGTGATGGAATATTAGACAGAGAACCTCATTCTGCATTTAATCTTGCTTTGGAAAATTAGGGTTCACCTTGGACATAACATTTTGAATATAATACAATCAAGGTGTGTGTGTGTGAGAGAGAGAAATGAAGTTAGGTCATCCACCATTGAAATGCTCATGGTTTTTATAATAAAGATGAGATTTAAAAGGGAGCAGAGTGGATGCTTAGTTTGTTAACCTGAACTGCCTTGGGCAAGTACATCTGTCCCCTGGTACACTAGAACTCTCAGAGGGCTTTTCAGCAGTTCCCCTTCCCGAGTCTAGGAAGACCTGGCGCCAGAGCCCGGCTCCAGCCAGTTTTCCCGGGGGCAGGTGTAGCCCTGGGAGCGGGGGGCCGGGGGAGGGGAAGGGGGCGGGCGTGGGGTTTACTGCGACTTGGGCCTCGGACCACGGGCTGGGCGTGGGCCTAACGCCTTGGGCCCGGCCCGCCCCCGCTGCTCCATTGGTCACATCTGTGCAGAAAAGGCCCGACGATCCGGGGGTGTCCACAGTGTCACTGGGCCGACCGGGGGCGCTGGCTGCGCAGTGACTGGGACTGGCCGGCAAAGTAGGCGGCGATTCGGCCCAGGAGATCCGCGCAGGCTTCCAGGCATCTCCTGCCTCGCTCCTCACCCCCTCCGTCTGGGTCGGGGGGAGGCGCGTGTCCGGCGGAGGGTAGCGGGGCGCCGGGCAGGGCCAGAGAGCCATGAGCAGTCCGGACGCGGGATACGCCAGTGACGATCAGAGCCAGCCCCGGAGCGCGCTGCCCGCGGTGATGGCCGGACTGGGCCCCTGCCCCTGGGCCGAGTCGCTGAGTCCCCTCGGGGACGTGAAGGTGAAGGGCGAGGCGGCAGCGAGCAGCGGAACGACGGCCGGGGCCGCGGGCCGAGCCAAGGGAGAGTCCCGCATCCGGCGACCAATGAATGCCTTCATGGTGTGGGCAAAAGACGAGCGCAAGCGGCTGGCGCAACAGAACCCGGACCTGCACAACGCTGAGCTGAGCAAGATGCTAGGTGAGTCGGTGCTTGGGCCCCTGGTGACCAGGAGCGCTGGTGCTACTCGCCTCTTTCGGCCTAAAATAGTGGGTTTTGTTAGTTTTTTTTTTTTTTTTTTTTTTTTTTTTTTTTTTTTTTTTTTTTGGCTCTTTTTGCGGGCCTTGAGCCCGAGACCATGGCTGTACTGCGGTCATGTCCTTCCCTGGGGCCCTCGGATCCCTTCCCGCTTCTAGCTCTGGGATTACCCTGGCGGCGCGGGGCGCGGGTACAGTGGCCCCGCTTGTCTGGGAGGCGGCAAGAGCACCCCTAACTCTGAGCTGGTCGAGCGACCCAGTCCTCTCCATCCCTTCCTCAGCCTAAAGAATTTTCGTTTTTTCGAACGACCGGGAGGTGAGTGAGCAGGCAAGCCGCTTGCAGGAGGCTAGGACAAGGGAGAGGTCCCCTCCGTAGAGAACGCAACTTCCCCAAGTGGTCAGACCTAGCGTTCCAGACCTTCACTCTAACTTGACCCTGTGCCGCCTCTGGTTGCGCAATTCAAGGTCAGAGGGGAGAGGTGGGACCAGGTGAGGCCTGGGAGTGGAGTTCAGCCTGGTAATTCCTGCGCCCCTCCATACCTTTCCTCGCCCGTGCAGGCAAGTCGTGGAAGGCGCTGACGCTGGCGGAAAAGCGGCCCTTCGTGGAGGAGGCCGAGCGGCTGCGCGTTCAGCACATGCAGGACCACCCCAACTACAAGTACCGGCCGCGGCGCCGCAAGCAGGTGAAGCGGCTGAAGCGGGTGGAGGGAGGCTTCCTGCACGGCCTCGCCGAGCCGCAGGCCACCGCGATGGGCCCCGAGGCCGGTCGCGTGGCCATGGACGGCCTGGGCCTACCATTCCCGGAGCAGGGCTTCCCCGCCGGCCCGCCGCTGCTGCCCCCGCAATGCAGGGCCTCCTGGCGCCCCCCAGCGCCCTGCACATGTACTACGGCGCCATGGGCTCGCCCTCGGTGGGCGGCGGGCGCAGCTTCCAGATGCAGCCGCCGCCGCAGCAACATCAGCAGCCGCCGCCGCAGCAGCAGCACCCACAGCACCCGCACCCGCCGGGACCCGGGCAGCCGTCGCCCCCTCCCGAGGCGCTGCCCAGCAGGGATGGAGCGGACCCCAGCCAGCCCGCCGAGCTTCTCGGGGAAGTGGACCGCACGGAGTTTGAACAGTACCTGCACTTCGTGTGCAAGCCCGACATGGGGCTCCCCTACCAGACACATGACTCCAGTGTGAATCTCTCCGACAGCCACGGGGCCATCTCCTCCGTGGTGTCGGACGCCAGCTCCGCGGTATACTACTGCAATTACCCTGACGTCTGACCGGCCCCCGGCTGCCGGGGGCCTCCCGGCCAGAGGCACAGTGTTACACACTTCCTGGAGGAGCTAAGGAAATCCTCGGCCTCCGTGTTGTTGCGTTTTGTTTAGAAGTTGCCTTGGCATATAATTTATGGTAATTTATTTTGTCTGCCACTTGAACAGTTGGGGGGAGGGGGAGATGAACGCTCTTGTCTAAAATTCCTTCAGAGACTTGTTCCCCGTCGTTGCGTTTTCCAGGCCCCGTTGCCAAGATCAAGGTAACCAGTTTTGGAGATATCGCCAAACAACTTGTTCCGTTTCCTGAAAATTTACTGATCAAAGAAATTTTGTCCTGGGTGTGGTTTTTTTTTTTTTTCTCTCTCTCTCTCATCTTTTAAGAAATAAAATCTGGACTTTTGTTTTTTCACTCCAGTGCCTCTGTCACACTAATGTTTTTTAATCAAACGGCCGTTTTTGTAAGATCAAATGTTAGGTATGGACAGAATCCGAAATATAGTTACCTGGAAATTTCTAGTTCTTATGGAAGAGTAGACCTAAATACTTCAAAGAGAAACCCTAAAAATGACCACTAGGATAGCGAAATTTGATGTCATTATCTTTGTTGAGCAGCCAGCCTCCTAGGATGAGCCTCTTTATACATTTGAAATGATCTTAATTGCTGGACAATCATGGTTATTCTTAACACTGTAAATTTTTTCATTTCTACCCTAGCAATTGAACCAGAGGGGAATATCCTAGTAAACTCGGTTTTCTGTCTTGTTGAATCATGACCTACCTAAAGAGACTTTTTGGATTTTGTTTCTTTTTCCTGCTTCTCAGTTTTCCACCAGGAGTTCTTACACTCTTTACACTGAACTTGCTTTCAGTCCTCACATGTTTACACCCTGGGAAGTGGTGTCGCTGGGTGAGCAATAATTTGAAAAACTCACGGGAACCAATCAAAATAAAAATTTCATAGTATATTTTGCTATTCTATGGCTGTTTTAAAATTGCATTGGGGTATGGTTGCATTCCCTGACGCCTGAATTTCTTTAGCTTTGGAGGGGGTCTATGGATGATTTAATGTGCAATATGCTTTACAAATTTGGCTGAAAGAATAGCCCTGGTACTTTCATACCTTTAACAAGAAAAGTTGAGTTACAGGTTTGGATGTAGGCACAGCCCCTGGACTCTGAAGTGCTAATTGTTGCCTGTGGCATTTTCCACCACATTGTACAGACTGAGACATAAATGGATACAGATTCTGGTAATGGGTGTTTCCTGTACCGGATGCTGCCTCTATGACATTCTGAACTGTTAGTCCTCCATACTGGTGAAATGCTGTGAAGAAAAGGAAAGGGTTGGGGGATAGTTTTGACACTTGTATGGGAGAGATTCCATGAGCCGAAATGCTTGTCTGGCTTCTCTTAGGGATTCCTAGATGCTAGGAATGTGAGGGATATGTTTCAATGAGGAAAGGTAAGAAATTTGTAGACATAACTGATACTACCTTAAAAATTTTTAAATGGGAAAGTTCATCCTAGGATTACCACACTAATGCTAGTCAATTTACTTCTGGTATCCTACCCCTTTGCACATCTTTTCCTTCCTCTGGTCCTGGAGAGGTAGTTCTGTTTCCAACCTGGGTTCCTTCAGCAGGATATCCCAAGAGTTCTCAGTGTGTTAGTGCACAGAGGGGCCTCGCCTCCCCAGGTTCGGGCCATGTGGTCAGTTCAGATTACACTAGACTTTTAGTATATACTCCTCAGCCCAAGGAGACTGTTATATCCTTGGCTGCTACTTTTAAACAAAAAAATTAAGAAGATAAATAGGGAAAAAGAGGGAGGGAGAAAAGAAAGCAGAGTATGCACGTGGAAGACTCCAAAATCCTGGTAAGTTCCAATTTTTTAAATTTATCTGAAAAGCAGAGTTCTAGAGAGAGAGGGGTAGAGAGACAGATCTTCGATCCATTGCTTCACTCCCCAAAGGGCCACAACAGCCAGCCAGAGCTGAGCCAAGGAAGGGAAGCACCAGGAACCCCATCGGGTCTGCGACAGGAGTAGCAGGGTCCCAAGCACTTGGGCATCCTCTACTGCTGTCCCGGGGAACATTAGTGGAGAGCTGGATGGAACTGGAGCAACCAGTGATCATGGGGTACCAGAGGTTTAACCCACTGCACCATGAGGCCAACCCCCCAAGCTACATTCATAACTCTTCACCAGAGACAGGTGTGAAAATGGTGCTATTCCAAATGCCTTTACCAGGATGGAGGGTCATCAGTCCTCATAACCTTTCTCTTCAAACACTCAGATGAACTGAACATTGATTAGATTTGTGAAGTATTTGTGCCAACTTCTTACCACTTTACTTTGGAAGTAAATACATAAAGCCCTGAGGTACTGTGGAAGTGTATGAGGAAGTAAGAATCTAGGGCAGCTCTTGGGTTCTAAGCACCCTTAGAAGACTTGTTTCTTTGAATTTATGTCCAGGTCATGGTCTAGGAAAGAAAAGGATCCCCTTCAGGAAAACATGTTAACATGCACACACATTCAATATTTTTGGTCTAATTGCAGGCAATTCACAACCTTTTAGGACTATCCAAGGATTGTGGGAAACTAAAGCTTTTAAGAAGCCCTGATGAAGATTTGTTGGGAAGGATGGGACCCACACATCAAAGCAAAAAGGCAGTCTCCTTATATCTGAAAATAAAATGACATCTCAAGAAGCTCCTACACCACTGACTTCTTTTTGTGACATGAATCAAGGGATATGAGGAGTTGCGTGTTCCCCTCTCCAAGGGTGAAAAACACTTGTAATGTCCTACCAGCATGGATCTGTGATCTTTTGCGCTTAACAATTATGGTAGTAGTAGTAGTAGTAGCCAGTCTCCAAGTCTGACCCCAGCGAACCATTCTTGAATATTTGCTTCTTTATGCAATCCCCTCTCACACCCAACCTGGGTTGGATTTGCCACTCTAATCCTATAGAATGTAGTAGAGGTGATTTCATGTCAGCTGTGGGCCCAACCCTTATGAAGGCTTGGTAGATTTTATTTCTTGTGCTTTTGGGAGCCCTAAGCTACTGTGCAAAATGTCCAATGGCTAGTTACAAAGTCGATGAGACCACAGGAAAATACTGCAGAAGGGAGAGGCCCAAGACTCCTAACAAAGGAAGAGGGCTCAGCTGCTTCCAGCTGATTCCTGCTTACCACCATCTGGTACTCAGGAGACAGCAGAAAAAAGTAAGTGTCCAGAAGTATGCAGGCAATCCACAGGGCAGAGGGTTGGGGCGGCAGGAGAAGAGGGAGCCATGAAGCTTAGAGTACTTCGTTGTATAGTGGTAAGTGACAGAACCATTGTGATCCTTCAACTTTTTCTCATTAAGTCTGGGAATCATGGGCACTGTTGACAAAATCAGGCAAAGAGCTTTGGAGCTGTCAGAGACACCATTATCATTTTAAAGTGAATGACAGAATGTAAAACTTGGACCCAAGTTGGATGACTCTATGATATCACCAAATACATAAGATCCTCTTGCCTTAAGTAGACTCAAATAAAGGCCACAGGTAATAGCTAGTGATTGTTTTTTAAAAATACTAAATTTGCCCCAATATTGGTTTATTTTGGAAATAAGTTACATAAAGGATACATTGGTTTACCTTTGAGGTAGTTTAGAAATGTGTCAATAGGTAAGAATCCAGCCCTTTCCTGGGCTGGCATAGCCAGACGCAGCCTGGCACAAAAAGGAAGACGGTATATTTTTTTCCCACAAGGACACTTACTTCATCTCTATTAAAACTGCCAAGTGGGTCCGATAAATTACAAAGTTATAAATTATTTACACAAGTACAAAGAGGTGACATCACAAAGAAATATGTATTTTACTTAAATTACTCTTATCTGACAAGAGTACCTTTAGTTTGAATCACATAGCAAAAGACATCAATACATCCTTTCCTTTAAATTTGCTGATATGAGCAAAATCACATGTAAGCAAAAGGAATTTGGAGGAAATGGAATGGGGAACTACAAAAGACAGCATCTCCATCCCATGTTTTTCAATATCTCTTTTCATTTTGTTTTTTTTTTTTCATGCTCAGATCTGTGCCTGTCCCATAATAGATGTTCCACCTTCCCCTCCTCCCCCTGTTCCTTTTTGATTTGTTTTGACAATAGAGGATAGGGAGAGGTATTTTACATCCATTATTTCAGCACAAATGTATTCTTCCTGCTCACAAGGTGCTTCCTTCTGGGTCCGGAATATTCATCTGAAGAAAAGTGGTATTGATGTCCCTACCCAGTCCCCAGCTGGAGTAGGATGAAGAATGTCCAGCTCCAGTTCTTCCACAAAATATTTCTTTGGATCCTCTGGCCTGAGGTCCAGATGCACTTCCTTCTTAATTTTTCACGACAACACGTATCCTTCTAATGCGATGCTTGCCTACAACACGTATCCTTCTAATGCGATGCTTGCCTATTGCTGTATGTTTTCTTCGGAATGATCAAGAAGCTTTGTAGGAATAAACAAGTCAGTTCTCCCTTCCCCCTTCCCCACACAAACACAAACGCTGAGCTCTCACCACTGGCATTTCTCCCAGCTTTGTTCAGAACACTGAAAAGAGAATTTTAGGGCTGTGTGTAGTGTATAGCAAGTACTGAATAAGTTGTATAACAACAGTAATGTTTTTAAGGCAAAAATTTATAGATATCTCAGATCAAAGCAAAAATGTGGCTGAATGTTTAGAAACCCTCAAATCTAATTATTCCTGTTGAAGAACATTTAGCTTTGAGGACCTATCTCCTCTTTAATCGAAGTCTTAAGCATTTTGTCAAGGTTGACTTCATAATACCTGTTCCCCAAACTCATATTGCTCAAAGAGTGGTTTTGTGGGGTTATCCTCTCTATGTGGCAATTCATACAAGAATAAATGTCAGTAGATGAGCATGGATGTCCACTCTGCTGGTTTCAGTGTCCTCTCATAAACCTGACAACCCGTTAAGCAAGGAAAGAAAGAATTGTGGCATGCAGCATGAGGAGGGTGGTTTCCTGGTCTGGTTGATTCCTCTAGTTACAAGGGAAGCTCCCAGAGCAGGGACTTTATGACCTGGCACCTGCTGAGTGTTCAGAAAACGGACTCACCTGCTTAATGGCTGGTTCCTCAGTTTTCCATTAGGGCTTCCTGAGAAAGCTCAGAGTTCCTACTTTGCCTCTCTCTCTCTTTTTTTTTTAAACATTTCAGATGGTTTCTGGATGACTGTGATTCCTTTCTCCCCCAAAATGTGTCAGAACATTAAAGCTGAACAACTCAAGATGGTAAGTTATTGGAAAAGGAGAATGACAAATCAGAAGTTGCAATATTCCAAAATGAATTCTGCATTTTGACTGAGGGGTTTACCTGACTCAGCAACTTAGCTTTGCCAGTTGGGAGAAGTCACTAGCCTTTTTGAACTCAGTCCGGTGTAAAAAGCAGAGGCAAGAATAAAAGCCCCCATGGAAAAAGATAAAAGTTTTACTGGATTATTTTAGGGATCAAGGAAAGAATATGTCTGAGCCACAAAAAGTGATCTCTCTCTCTCTTTTGATTTCATATATCTCCATCTACCAGTAGACTTGGGGGATTTAATTTATTCTTCTATTAAGAAACAGACACCATCAGTAACTCACCTACTGTGGATGCTTTGCTTAGTGCAAAGAGAATTTTGCAGCCTTGTAAGATTGTTCATGCTTGTTGGAACTATTAATCACTTTTGCGGTACTCTCAGCTTTGGCCAGTGCAGCCCCTTTGATTATAAAGTTGTGTCATTCACAGAACTTCCCATTTTGCATGAAAATGTCATTTTTAAAGGGAACATCTAATGCAAGGGAGGCACACAAATGCAATATCAGGTCTGTCAACAGTCACATTTCTGTCCAGTCTCTCCTCCCATCACAGTTTTAAAAAATCCTGAATAATATTTCATGCCATCTCTTTTGCAGGACCTAACAACAAAGCCTTAAAGTTGAATAAGCAGATTGTAATGGGAGAGGACAGCAAATTGAGAATAGATCTGGTTTCCAGCAAGTAGTACCAAAGAATACTGAAATTTGATACTTAGGTTTTTAGCTTCCTTCAGTCCTCAGAAGTTATTTTCACAGGGCAGGAGTGGATGGGCTTATGTGAAGAAACTTTTGAGACACTAACAGAATGAAAGAACAATTTTATAGGCACAAGTGGATTCATCTCCTTTAATCTGTTCCTATGTTTGAAAATAATAGGAATTACAAGTGCACACATGCACAGAGACACACACACATCAAGATTTTAAGCTAAAACAGCCCAATGAGATTACAGAAGAGAGAAGTAGAAAATAAAGAGATTATTTGGGTAGGGAAAATGTGTATTTTTATGTATTCGTTAAAATGCTTTACAATTTCTTAAATGATGCACATGCTATAAAAATTCGAACATTACAGATGGGTTTGCGACATCCACAAGTTGTCAGAAGGATTCCATCCCTCCCCAGTCCTGTGCTACAAGTCTCTGTTTTTTATTCTACCAGACATGACCTACATTAATAATTCTGCTCTTCTGGCAGTTAATTAATCAAAATGCCTGCAGGGCTAATTCTAGGTTGATCAGTTCTACACCTTTGCTTCCTCATATGACAGTTAAGAATCCTACCCTTCCCTCTCCTCCGAAAGAGGTCCTATCCTTATTTCCATTTCTACTATTGATTACCGCTGGCTGGTACAGCACGGGGGCCATATACCGGGCTGTTTGTTCCGGTGAGGACATTCCCTGCAGCGCTCCCCTCCTTTCTGAGAAGGTGAGTAGTTTCGAGGACTTTGGGGGAGGGCAGGAGGAGCAGTAGATGAAATATTGATGCACGCGTCCTATTAAATGATTTTCTTTTTACATTTCAATTATCCCAGATATTCCGGAATGCATACCACCGTGGCTTGCCTTGCTTTCTTGTTTCTTATGCCCCACTGGGAAAGCTCAGTAGTCTGTCCCCAAAGCTGTACACAAAGGAAAAAAATAAATCAGGTAAAAGGGGTAAACTCTAAGATCATAGGTAGGACTCCTCTTCCACCTCCCTCCTCCCCCAGCCCTCCCGTCCCTCTCCACCAAAGCGCTGGAGGCCGCGAGCGCTGTGCTCGCCTAGCCAGGCACCTGCACTCCGAATGCTGTTATTAATTCTAGGGAACATTTGAACAAGACGCTAGATTGGCATTAACTGAGAAGGTTAAAGACGGTAATCTGATGGCGAGGAGGGGAAGGCAGGATGGTGGGTTGGGGACAGCAGGGACAGCGCGGCCCGTACCCCCGTGGTTACCCCTGAAAAGAAGAGAAGATCGCGATGTCTTGCACCTGCTTCCTGGCGTTTGGCGCGCGGCGGTGCCTGCCCCGCGCTGGAGTAAGCGCACACGAACTTGACGGAAAACAAATGCTCCTGGAAGTTTAGACTAGGGTTTCCCCAGAGCAACCGTCCGGGGAGCCTGCCGGCCTGCCGGCCTGCCGCGCCGACTCTCCACAAGGTCGCGATGTGACATCCGGGAATGGCGTTCCTCCGAGAAGGGGAGGGGATTTGAGTCTCGGCGGGTTATTTTCTGTAGAGGAGAAAATCAAACTCTTTCATCGTCGGCGCCCGTCCCTTGAGCAGACAGTGCAGAGAGGCAACCTGCCCGAGTTCTCAGCTGCTCAGGTGGAGCGCGGCGGTGAAGCGCGGCGTCTCCACGGGCCACGTCGTTGCAGAAAAGGCTCGGCGGACCTGGGGCGTCCGCTGTGCTTTGCTGCCACACCGGGACTGAACTGACACGTGGGAGGCAGTTTCTGTGCCGAGACACCAGGGTCGGGGAGAAGTGTGTCCCGCGGAGGGAAGCGGGACTCCAGGGAGGGCCGGAGAGCCATGAGCAGAGCGCCCTAGACGCAGGATACTCCAGTGACGACCGGAGCTAGCCCCAGAGGTGATGACCCGGCTGGGTTCTCCCCCCGGGACTTGAAGGTGAAGGGCGAGCCGAGCGCCAGCGGGGGCCGCGGGCTGAACCAAGAGCGAGTCTCCCATCCCGCGCCGTCAAGGTGGGCTAAGACCTAGGGGCAGAGTTTGGCAGGAGTCCCGCCAGGGCGCTTCTCAACGGCCGCCTGCGCCCGACGCGGGAGGCGGAGCGCAGGAGCAGAGCACGTGAGGGACGGGATCCGGGAAGATCCGTTCTTGTGGGTCAGAGCCTCTGGCACGGAGAACCTCCGCGTGGACTCCTAGAGGGAGATTTTAGGGAAACAGTATAATGGCAGGTGTAAAATCGTCTTGGGGGCGAGAGATGAAATTAAATTAAATGGCTCAAAACTAAGCTGCTAATCATCTCTCTGGGGTCCGAGAAGTACCGACAAGGTGGCCTGGCAGTCTGACACCTGCCTGGGTTAGACAGGCAACCAAGGGACCTTAATGGCAGAGTAACGACTCCGGATGACGAACACCCAATTTTGCGGTCTTGGGAAAGGTTTTAAGCTGCTGTCCAACCAGGCAAGCGTCTCTAAAAACGAAACATCGAATGTCCTTATTTCAAGTTCCCTCTGAATTTTTGGGGTAAGGAGTGGACAGATAGGGGTATTGATTTAGTACAATATGTTAAAACTGTGCATCATTCACGAAGCTAGAATTGCATTCCTCAGCACCTTTCAGAAAAACTACAGCAAAGCGCTGGAATCTCAAGCTAACCAGACTGCCCTCTGGAGCTCTTTCTTCTTTTTTTGTGGCTGAAATTTGTGTTAGAAAGGTCGAGGGAAGCTGGCCTCTACTTGTGAACAGTTCAAACTCCCAGAATCTTTTGAAGTTAAGAAGGAGACGGTTTTGTTTGTTTATTAGAGTCTAACGGGCCAACCTTCATTTCACCAAAACAATGTGAAATTGTCGGTCTGCTGCCTAAATAGCTTTGCTTAATGTTTTTTTTTTCCCCATAAAAACGTAAACAGCTCATGAAAAAACAGTCAGCCCATCCCTAGTGCTAACTTCAGAGATGCGGATGCTTGCTATAAATACATACCATCCAGTGTTCCCTGCACACATGCTGTCTGCATCTGCAATGGTACAACTTAGCAATCCCATCTTCCTATCCTTTTCAGTTAACAGTAAGCTAGTTGGGGTTCCTGGCATTTTTGTAGTCTTACCTGGGCAGAGTCAGCCCCAGTAGTCCTCTCTACAGGCTAACTTAAATTTCTCTCTTTGACTTACTGCCTCCTTTTGTGGGTAGTGAGTTCCCAAGACCCTCCTCACATTCTTGCAAGAACTGCATCTGTGCACAAGAAAGGAGAGTACTTAACTATGGAGAACTCACTGGGACACCAGTTTCACTCTAGAAGAAAGGGGTAGGAATTGTGCGTGCTCAAAGTGCAATCTTTTCAGGCTGAGTCTTTCTGGTCTGGTCTCAGGGGTGCTGCCAGGGAGTTGTGCATGGAAAATCCCGAGGCGTTACTGCTTTCAGGAGAACGCCCTCCCTGCCTCTGCCTCCCATTACCCCCCTAACTGCCAGGATGCCGGGTTTTGTTTTGTTTTGTTTTGCATTTCTAACACCTTGGTGCCTTAGGCTGAGACGCTGTCCCTAGAAGTTGATTTGGTGGAGGTGGTGAGATCTGCCCCAATAATCGTAAGAGCGGTAGAGTTCCTGGTGTCTTGTCCTAATATGGTAATTAAATACTAACTTCCTCTATTGCAGTCTCTGGTTGATAAAGTGTGAGGGCGATTGGGAGATACCTGCCCTCCCGGCCAGGGAAGCGACTGAGCGACAGTGAGAATGGCGCATGGGGAGGAGCTGCCTTCTTGGGGGAGGTGGCGGCTGCACCAGAGTCCTGTGGGACCTGACCAGTGCCCAGGTTCGAACCCCTGGCTGCGTGGCCCTGGACAGCCTGGGCCTGCTCTTCCCCTAGCAGGGCTTCCCCGAGGGGCCCCTGCTGCTGCCACTGCACACAGGCTGCCACTAAGGCAACTGCCAGCACGGGGGCCCATGCCCGACACGTCCCTGCAGAACAGAGTGGAACCTGATTAGCTTTGCCGCTGCTTGGCTGCCTGGGGACTGCCGGCGGCCGGCACCTACAGCCCAGGGTGACTTAGGAGCCCTGGGGCTCCCCAAGCCGGGCCTTCGGTCGCCCCCCAGCGCCCAGGACAGGTACTACGACGCGTTGGGCTTGCTGTGGCTTCGGATACATTGGCACTGCCCTCTTCGTGGTCGGCGCTATCGTCATCAACAGTAGAACCTCCCCTTGGCCCTTCGTTGGGTGCTATTCTGCAGGCGCAGCCCGCAGAGCTCCTCGGGACAGCTCAGGGCTGCCCGTGCTGAGTTCTTTACACCTCTGCTCTGACCCCCCGGGTTCTCTTGCCAGTTTGCAGCGTTCATTCCAAGTGCCAGAGCATAGGTGATGCTCCTATCTTTTTCAGACTGAACTTTCCAATAAGGACAATGTTTAACATCGCTCATGTCTCAAAGGAGGCAGTGCAAAAACGAGCTCGCATAAGTGTTTGCAAAATTAATGTTTCCATTGTCTTTATACAAGTAATTTTTGCATTGAAGTTATTATTTTGAAAACATGTAAAAGAAATAGGCCATGAACAGAAAGTATTTTTCCATTGAAAATGATCTCATTCCAACTGATTTTAAACATTTTCCTAGTATTTATTGAGTATCTTCTACATTTCATTATTTCTTTCTTTTTTGTTTGTTTGTTTTTTGTTTGTTTGTTTGTTGTTTGATTTTTGACAGGCAGAGTTAGACTGTGAGAGAGAGAGACAGAGAGCAAGGTCTTCCTTCTCTTGGTTCACTCCCCTAATGGCCACCACGGCCGGCGCTGCGCTGATCCGAAGCCAGGAGCCAGGTGCTTCTCCTGGTCCCCCATGGGGTGCAGGGCCCAAGCACTTGGGCCATCCTCCACTGCCTTCCTGGGCCACAGCAGAGAGCTGGACTGGAAGAGGAACAACCGAGACAGAATCCAGCACTGTGACCGGGACTAGAACCTGGGGTGCCGGCGCCGTAGGCGGAGGATTAGCCTAGTGAGCCACGGCCCCAGCCCTATATTTCATTATTTCTAATGGTCTTGTTTTGTTGATGTCTTTGTTAATCCAGCTAAAGATTTTTCAAAAAATTATGTGCATATGTAGATTTTATATTCCACAAAATTAAATGAAGTGTGTCTGTACTGGTCAGTGTACCACGGAAAGTACACAACATGCTTAAAAGGGGTGATTGAAGAAAGATCAATAAATAGCTTGTGTTAATCCTTCCAGGGGCTGGGAGCGGCCCAGGACTACCCTCACTCAAGGCACCTCATCAGCCCCTTCTGGGAGGACCGAGAAGCAGTCGCTGAAAACCAGGGTGACAGTAGTTTTAATCCTGCAGCCAGAAGCTCCCAAAGAGAAGTGAAGACACTGCCAGCTATGGCCTGGAAGGACAATCAGGAAGTAAATATGGGGGGGATATCCTACTGCATGACTTCCTGGCCAGACCTACCCGCCAACCAGAGGGCAGTGCGTGGGAAGAAGAGGGGAGCCCAGGATGAAAGGGTCAGACTTCCTACAGCAACTCAGCTGGAGAGGTTTAGCACAGGACTTGAACTGCCTAAAGCTGGCTGTCATACTAGGAGTGCTGAATGTAATGGAGGGCAGGAGGGAATCCTAGCTGTTGCTCTTTTCATCTTTGGAAAGTTTATGGTCCAGGAGGGAACACAGGAAAAAAATTAGTAATATTGGGCCAGCGTTGTAGCACAGTAGGCTGCTGTCTGGGAAGCCCACATCCTATATTAGCACTGGGTCCAGTCCTGGCTGATGCACAACCAGTCGAGCTCTCTGCTAATGCACCTGGGAACACAGTGGAAGATGGCCCCTGCCACCCACGTGGGAGACCTGGGTGGAGTTTCCAGGCTCCTGGTTTCAGCCTGGCCTATACTGGGTGTTGTAGCCTTGTGGAGAGTGAATCAGCATCATATAGTAGCTATCGCTCCCTCTCTCTTTTTCCCTTTGTTTCTCTTTCTCCCTCTCTGCAACTCTGCCTTCCAAATAAGTAAAAAATAAATCTTTAAAGCAGATGGTCATCTCCTACCTTTCCTAGTTGACATCACTTCCTAGAAAGCTCAGGTGACTCTTTTTTTTTTTTTTTTTTTTTTTTTTGCAGGTAGAATTAGACAGTGAGAGAGAAAGAGACAGAGAGAAAGGTTTTCCTTCCTTTGGTTCACCTCCCAAAGGGCCACTATAGCCAGTGTCCTGCACTGATCCAAAGCCAGGAGCCAGGTGCTTCCTCCTGGTCTCCCATGTGGGTGCAGGGCCCAAGCACTTGGGCCATCCTCCACTGCCTTCCCGGGCCACAGCAGAGAGTTGGACTGGAAGAGGAGCAACCAGGACAGAATCCGGTGCCCCGACTGGGACTAGAACCCGGTGTGCAGGCGCCGCAGGTGGAGGATTAATTAGCCTAGTGAGCTGTGGCGCGGACCTCATTTTTATTCTTTAAATATTTATTTATTTATTTATTTGAAAGGCATAGTTACAGAGAGACAGAGGCAAAGAGAGAGAGGGAGAGAGAGGTCATTCATCTGCTGGTTCACTCCCTACGTGGCCTCAATGGCTGGAGCTGGGCCGATCCAAATCCAGGAGCCAGGAGCTTCTTCCAGGTCTCCCACATGGGTACAGGAGCCCAAGGACCTGGGCCATCTTCTACTGCTTTCCCAGGCCATAGTAGAGAGCTGAATTGGAAGAGGAGTAGCCAGGACTCAAACCAGCATCCATATGGGATGCTGGCCCTGCAGGTGGTGGCTTTGTCAGCTATGCCACAGAGCAGGCCCCAACCCCAGCTCCCTCTTAGGGGCTTGTGTTTTACCCTTTAGACTGTTGCAGTTGGAAATCTTAGGTCTCCAAGGAAGCTTTTCCCAAAGTTTAGAGTAAATTTGTACTGAGGGATGAGTCAATTAAAATATAATTGATTAATAAATGCCATTCTCCAGGTTAAAGTAGAGCTCATATCTCACTATTTATCATATTCCTACCTAAGATTTTATATGGGGGTTGGCTCTGTACCATAACAGGTTAAGCTGTCACTGGCAGCGCCAGCATTCTATATGGGCGCTGGTTGGAGTCCGGGCTGCTACACTTCTGACCCAGCTCCCTGCTAATGTG